CATTCGTTAAGTTGGAAAGTGCAAGCAATCCGTTCTTATGTTATCTGGTTCACTTCACCAAATTGGATAAATAAATTGAGGAGTTCGCTGAACTCGGTATGTTTTGATTAAAGTTGCTTGTGTGGCATATACGGCCTCTGCATGTTGAAAACATGTACTATACGTACATTTTTGTGCAGCACAGTACTCGTACAAGATTCAAAGACAGATTAGAGAGTACATATAATACAGACTACATAAGAACTCATACTAAGGTTAGAATACATTTGTAAAATCAGCCTTCGATTCATGCGCTCTTCCGGTTTTTGTGTACGTAGATTAGGCATAGAATTAATTTAAGAAGCGTTTTTTTTGTTGTTTTGTTTTTCGCAGAACTCTAGCATATCCCTACATACGCGCCGGAAACTAAAATACTCACCAAATCAAAATGCAAACAAAGAAAAGATAAAGAGTGACTTAGACTTAGACTACAGTGCGGCGATTCGAATGCAATATAAATGATTTTGCCTTGATTTATAGTTTATAAATTATGAAGAAATTTTATTTTAATGGTTTTTTTGCTCTAAATGTACATTTACTCGTATATGTGTATGCGTTTGTTTGTGTGTTTTCATTATAAATATAGTATAATTAAATGATTACAATTACAATTAAACTCTAGATCGTTACTCATATGGATTTCAGCTGTCGCATACAGCAAAGTAGCGTACGCTAGCACTTGATGACGATTGGCGTTTGTGGTGCTTTCTTTAATTATTTTTAATTTTTAGTTTTTATTTTTATTTGTTTTTGTGATAAAGCATACATATATGTATAATGTCGTTGATAATGTTGCGTGTTTGTTGGGGGAGGAGAAGGAGGTAAGACACGTACGTAATGGATATTAACTAAAAGCAAAACCGTTTCATATATTTGTATGCTGCAAATATCGTTTTCAGATTTCAGATTGGCCTATAAACTAAAGAAGAACAGGGGTAAGTTGATGATAATAGAATATAAAAGGAGGATCCTATGAATAACTCTGACTATACGGTTGTATGTATGCATGTATATATGTATATATGTATATATATATATATTTATATAGATGTGTTGTGTGTGAGTGTGCATGCACGTATGAGTGTTTGTATGTATATAGCTTTATATGAATAATAATACATTTGATATATTTATCGGCAAATACGACAAATGCGCCCAAACAAATCTATCCATATGCTTGTCATATATAAACAACAACAAAAAATGAACAAAACATTCTTTGAAATTGCATTCCACCAAAAAAAAAACACTCGCACATACAAATTAAAACTACACGTGCACGTGCACTTGCACTTGCATTCGCATTCACTTTTCGGCTTAACAACTATTTGTTAGCTTAAACGCTAATAACATGAATCGTATGGTATGGAGTTACCAAGACATGCCCCTGACCATGAGCCCCATATGTTCCATGGGTTCCATGGGTTCCATGGGTACCATGGTCGCAGTGAACAGCAATAAAAAAATCTGTGCAAAACTGAAGTAAGTAACTTAATTTGAATTGTCCGTTGTGGGATTCCCGGCGACCATTTGCAGCTCCTCAATGTTGCTCCTCGCCACGGCTGCTGTCCGCGTCCGTGGTCGCATGAAGCATTTATCAGTAAGCCTGCGCCTCCTTGTAGTCGCTCTGATCGGAGGTGTAGAAGTCCTCGAGCTTCCATTGGAGCGTCTCGAATGTGGGTCTGCGCATGGGATCCTTGTGCCAGCACTCGAGCATGATCTCGTACAGGCGCGGCTCGCAGTTGGGTGGCAGGGGCATGCGATAGCCGTGCTCCACCTGGGTTAACACCTCCGCATTAGTCATACCTGATTGCAAAGATAAACATCGATTTAATTTGATTAGATTATGTTTCATTCTCGGAAGAAACGCCAGTCAGCTGATTTACCCGGATATGGTATGCGTCCGTAAGTGACCAGCTCAGTGAGGAGAATACCAAAGCTCCAGACATCAGATTTGATTGAGAATTTACTGTAGTTGGCCGCCTCGGGCGCTGTCCATTTGATGGGGAAGCGGGCGCCAACTCGCGCCTCGTACTCGTCCTCCTTGATGAGCCTGAACGACAGATTGACGGATATTAATTTGCATTCCCTCTCCGACGCACGACTCAATGACTCACCTGGCCAAACCGAAGTCGGCTATCTTCACAATGTTGCCATCACCAACGAGGACGTTGCGCGCCGCCAAGTCTCTGTGGATGTAGTTCTGGGACTCTAGGTAGGCCATGCCAGCTGCTATTTGTGCGGCCATATCGATGAGCGTCTGCATTTTGAGGCTACGACCTTTGCCTGCAATGGCTAAAAGATATTAAAAATACAAATAAGCAATTGCCATGACATGATAAGCGAGCGGGCGGACGTTTGGTTGATTCTTTGATTTTCTTTGTTTGTTTTTTTGTTTTTACTAATTGCCATAGCTTGGCGTGAAAATGTACAAAAGTCTTTCTTTGAAATTTGATTAAGGCAAGCCTGCAAGAATGGGTCAAAATGTACGAGGAGCACGCGGCGAGTGAGCGGATCGTCATCTGTGTGTCCCAGCATACCTTGCAGATATTCCAGCAGTGAACCGTGCTTCATCAACTCTGTGATAATGTAGATGGGCTCCTCCACCGTGCAGACAGCGTACAGCTGTATGAGCTTGGTATGGCGCAGCTTCTTCATGATCTGGGCTTCGGCTAAGAAGTCCTTGGGATCCATTGTGCCTGAAAAGGGGACAACGAATCATTGTTAGTCAAAATTCTATTTATTCAACTCCCTCAGAGGAGGGACGAGCTCTCGACTTACCCGATTTCAGAGTTTTAATGGCCACGGGTGTTGTGTTGTTCCACTGTCCCTCCCAAACATCGCCGAACTGGCCGGATCCCAGTTTGCGTACAAATTTGAGGGACGTTCTGTCGATCTCCCACTGGTCGCGTGTTCGATGCGAGAGGCCTTCGGTGACTGGTTTCTCGATCTGTGGCGTCAGGATGGTCGGACATGGGGGAAGGGATTGAGAAATCAGTTAGTAAATGAATTTTCTATTGCCAAATCGTAGGCGCATTTGTGTTCGGCTTGAGGTTAATGATCGTGCCAATTGAGCAATGAGATTGTAGAATACATTAATTAACCATCATCTCCACCACGAGATAAAACGTATGCAGTGCGTTGCGTACCCATGTGTCTGGTTTTCCACATTTACATATTTATATTTAAAATATATCTACATTTATAGCGGCGAAATAAAGCTAATGTGGGGGGATTCTGTGCATGGGGACCTTTTACTTTAAGTATTGCTAATTCTAACTAAACAAAATCCGCAAATTTGAATTTAGCGCCCTATTAAATGTTGAAAAAATACCATATGAAAATTACAAAAATTTTACTTGAAAAACAGAAAAAAAAATACTGCAAAAAAAACGTACACCATAAAAACAAAAAAAAACGTTTAGCATTTTTTTTTGGTTATTGACATGGGCAGGATTTGTAAATTTGTGGCATACTTTTGGGGTTGTGACCAGAATTAATTTGAGTCGAACGCATCGGCAGGTGTCGCCACTGTGACATGTAGTTGTGTTGTAGGTTTCATGTAGAAATTAATTTGCAAATCGGCAGAGAAAATCCGGAAAAGTAGCAAAATCTTGATATGAAATTATCTTCATAGATAAATTTTAAATATATATATGCATTTATGCATGTGTAAGACCAGCAGTACGGGTAAGCAACGTCACAACGTCATGCGACAGCATTAAAGAGGGTTGGAGATGAAGGTTAGGTTAGGGCCTTATTTACATAGAATCTGATCTGTTCCATTAGTGGGTAGCTGGCGCTATGATTTTTGTTGGATCTGTTTTATGGGTCTGAGTGGGTTCAAAGCCGGCCAGGCCCGTCAGTCAAAGTGCAAAAGATCAATGGAAATTTCAACCTTAAGTCGAGCGCATACTTGAAGAACAGAAACACTTTTGTGGCCGTTTCCCTTCACTGGGTTTCGGCACTAATTAGACACGCGATGTAGAAACTTTGCTTTGATTTACAATTACTAGTTGGATGGGGGATTGGATGGGCTGGGATGTGATAGAGGGGGATAGGATCCTATGCGATAGATTGTCTCGATTGCACTTTGAACGCTGCCGTGCGATGTGGCGGTGGGGGTGGGTGTGAGATTCGGGTTTGGCATTGCAGTCGATTGTACATAGTATTGCAGTATGTGTGTATATGTATTTTTTAATTCATAATGAAATGATCGCTTAATTTCGTTCGCCGTGAGGGGTTGAGGGGGTGACAGAGTAGAGTGGATTCTGGTTTCGGTTATTGTTGTGTTAATGGGCAAATAAACACACACATAAACGCACATGATAACGTTTTTACATAGAAATCCTACCTCAAAGACACCCGAAAAGGTATTTGTCTTATTTGATTAATTTTTATTTGTTTGTATTTTGAGTTATTTTTGGTTATCGTTTCGTTACGTTGTAGTTGTTGTTGTTGTTGTTGTGATTATTGTTATTTTTATTTGTTGGTTATTATCGTTTTACAGACATTATAATTTTTGTTTGGTGTTAATTAAAGAAAAATGCAAGAAATATATGGAAAATATAAGACAGTTTTAGTACACACGTGTTGGGCATTGCGAAATGAACAAACATAGGGATAACAATGTTGAATGCAAATGTTACAATGCACATCACATTTGGCTGCAGTTCGGATGTTGGATGCGCGATTAAACCAAAGCAAACAATGGCTGTAGGGGAGCGATGCGGCGGATGGCTTACCTGTACACAGGGCTTGCAGAGGTTGACGCACAGGCCATCCGAATCCTTGGAATAGTGTTCGACCAGCTCCTGCAGAGTTCTGTTGGGGGTGGAGGGGCGGTTAGTTTTGTCATTGCGTGAGTTCACTGTACTGTGAGGAGGCACACTCACCTGAATGTTGTGCGTCTGGCAATGAAGAAGCCGCCCTCGTCCAATTGTCTGATGCGATAATGCTTGACCGTATCGCCATCGCGCACTGCAAAAAGCATTCACAGTATATGCATATAGTATACGAACAATAAAGTATAACAATTATAATTGCCACGGGGGGGCAAGCAAAGCAAAGCAACCGAACCGAATGCCTTGTTTGGCACGCACCTGATAGCGAATAGTCGTTGTGTCGGCTCTCGGAATCACGAATTAAAAATGCGCCGTGCTCGTTCTCTGGCAGTAGAAGTTTTTTCTCAGCCTCAATGCGTTTGATTTTGCGGAAGTACCAGCTGCAATGAAAGCGACAAACGGCGAGAAAAGAAATTATTATTATTGCTTTGCATGCGGGAGAGAAATTTATGTATGCAAGGCAAATGTTTAGAGTTTATTAAGGAAACCGCTCTATCGAGGCTACACCAGCACCAACCAGTCAGTCCCGCCTGATCGGCTAAAGGGGACAGGAGAGGCGATAAGAATGTGGGTGGTCTGGCTCTGGTAGACCAGGCAGGCCCCCCCCAAGCTGTGAGTCATTTTTCATCTGGAGGAACGTGCCGTCTTTTTTCAATGACAAATTTAAGTTTTTGTTGTGACCATCTAGAGTTATGATATGATCAATATGCAATTAGGCGGGGGAACACTTTATTTAAATTACCATTCCCAGTTCCCAATTTTCTTTATTCATGCCAATAATGGTCGGCACACTATGAACTGCACTCTACTATAAATACATATGTACATCTGTATGTACATATACGCCGTTGTACGTGCCGGACAGGGATGATCATCGACCTATCTAGCTATAAAACGATGTGTTTATTTTCCAATTATAATAAATTTAAGACAATTTATTTGACAAACCCATTTACTTGAATAGCTCATAGATCCTCTTTTTGATTTTGGTATTTATGGCTATGGCAGGCTGTAGAAATTCTCTCTCTCTCTCTCTCTCTCCCCCAATGTCCAATTGTCTGTGTGTGTGTGTGTGTGTGTGTGTGGGGCTACCTACGATGAGTTGTGAAAACTAAAACATTTCAATCTCAATTTGATGCAGCATTAACATTGACCTTAATATCGGCACAAACATACAGATAAAAGTAACTGGAAATTGTTGGACCTCTCTCTCTCTCTCCCCCACTCTCCATCGGATTTTCTTGCACGGCTGCTTCTTGAGGCAGCAGGCTGGAAGGGAGGGGGGTTTTGTCAATTAAAAAAAAGTGTGTGAAAGATTGCTTACATAACAGTCCCGTCCAGTCCAAACCAATTCACATTTTTGAAGTTCGTGACGAATAAAGATAACGGATGATGACAGAAGCGCGGCTAAATCGGCGCGATGAGTCCCGCGATACCTGATGGTCTGTGTGTGTGTCAGAGATACCCCACAAAATGCAAATATATATTCATGGTAATCACACTCATACGTACATACATGTGTGTGCTATATAGGTTACCCTTCTCTTAAGCACATGAATACCGTATGAAAGGGCAGGGGGGGGCTATGGGGGAACTTTTCATTTCAATGCATTGAAAAACACCCAGAAATGGAAATAGGAACAGCAAAGGTGCTCCCCCCTCTGCTTCCTCGCTTCGTTCTGTGCTGAATAAAGTGAAAGCAAGTTTTCAGGAGGCACATTAAAAGATTCATAATATTCCAGATTGCGGGCTCAAAAGATCTCCTCAGGCAACCAAGCTCCTGCTGTGGAAACTGGTCAGCCAGGAAGCCAGAACCCCTCCCCCTCGTGCTCGTAAATGGCTTCTGCTAATGGCAGTCGCCGGGTTCTATTGCAGAACAGAACAGAACCAACTAATCAGATTCCGCAAAGCCATTTAAAGCTATTATTAAAAGAACTTGTCTATCCGCCTGCCAGGCACTCTTAATTGCTCAGCCTGCTCGCTCCGTCGTAGCGGAGAGGGGAGGAGAAGGAGGATTTGTCCGATTTGCACATATCATCATCAACGCAGTCCCGTCGTTGCCCTGCCAGCAGCCAGCAGCCTGCAGCCTGTAGCCTTCAGCCGGCCCAGTTGCAACAAAGTCATTTAGCAATTTGCCAGTCAACAGGATTCGGATGGTGGGGCTCTGCCTCTGGCTCTGGCTGCCACATGAAAGCTCGCCAATGCTCATGAATGGGAGGCGTGTTTGCATACCATCTGGCTGATTGATGAGACGACATTCGAGTGGGTAGGTTGGGGGGATTGAATGACGGAATGACTGAATGAGTGAGTGCCTTGGCAGCACGTGTCTATTACGCCAATAAGCGTTTATTAGACGCCATCAAATGCACTGGACGGGGGGGTCTGGCTCTGTGTGCGCTTTTCCTTGAAATGGCTGAGAGCCAGTCGCGTACACACATGTATTTATAGACACTCTACCATCCTGGGACTGGGGACTGGCCTGCCAATTATGGTGCATGCATGACTTTCATAAATATGCACCACGATTTAATTACACACACACACACACACACAAGAAACGACGACGAGCACTGGCTGTACGGGCATCCTGCCCGCTTCGTTAGGAGAGGCTGGCTAATGCTCTACGAATACTGGCCACCGACTACCCTTGGCAGACGGAAAGGAAAAGCTCTGGAGGCCAGGAGGATGTACTGTCTGCTGCAGACCATCATTCCAATGCAACCGGCAACTGGCAGCCGGCAACACGGCAACCCGGCATGGCACGGCACATTCTCTTACATAGAAATTTGGTCTAGAACATGCTTTTATTTATAGACGGACAGAGAGATCTGCTTCGATCCGAGCCAAACATGGCCTGGCTGGCCCGGCCCGGCCCCAGCGTGCCGCCCAAAGCCAAAATCAAATGGCCAGCGCCAAAGCGCATGCGCAGCCTCCCTCCTCTGGCTGGAGACTATTTTTAAACAAGGCAACGCAACGTAATTCGATTTTGTCTAAAAATATCCGCTGCTACATGCAACTCGTTGGCGATTTACGTTTTTCTTTTTCTTTTTTTTTCTACAATTTTTCTACGTCCAACATGGCTTTGATAGCCGTTTCTTTTGGCCATGGCTGCAGCCAGTGGCAGCCAGTGGATCGACGGCCCCAACATGTTTGGCTTGTTTGGCTGGCACTTTGGACATGCACATTTGAGTTAAAATTAGATTAAATGGCAAAGCGATCGATCGATCGTTCGATCGATAGACGGGCCTAAACCGGAGATCTTTGGCTGCATCCGCAGTGCCTGCAGTTCTAGTGGCTGCTCCAATTTATTTAGCTCCGCTATTGTGTGGCACTTGGGCCACTTGACTTGACCACTTGATTGACACTTGTCGGCTGGACTGTTGACCCGTTTTCACCGTGCCCAATTCTATTTAAGGCAAGGAGGCGGCAAATTGTGCCAGACACTAAACCAACAAACTTTGGCAGCTGAAATGGTTGCAAGCAACGGTCCGGTCCCTGGTTCTGGTCACTCTTTGTTCTGTTGCTTTAGAAGGGGGCCAAGCGTGCCCCAATTGGCAATTGGTCGGTGCAACTGCAAACCCATTGAAGCAGGTCAGGTCATGAGATGAGTGTCGACACGGACGCGGACGCGGACATACCGTCAAAACGAGTTGGATTCGGGGTGTGATTCGGCTGGCAGCCACGTCACGAATGAATCAGAGCTGGGGGAGACGGAGGGTGCTCCTGGCTCGGAGCAGCATGGCAACAATAATTTGTTAATTTTTATTTTTTTGAGCTGCTGCTGCTAATCAATTTCAAAGCTAATTATTAGCCATTGGTTAACTCTACGAGGAGAGCAGAGGCAGAGTCAGAGTCAGAGGCAGAGTAATTTCATCCAGATGATACGAGTGGAGTTCAATTCCTGCTTTGCATGCCACGACGATTGCCCCTCTCTGAGCTCTGCGCACTCCACTCTCCGCTTTCTGCGGCATATTAATTGGAGTAACATTTTTTGTTGTCCGTTTTGGGACATGACACAAACAAGGAGGCAGAGCCAGAGCCAGAGCCAGAGCCAGAGGCATGCAGCTACTCAGGTGCAACTCAAGTGCCTCCAGCTACTGGCACTGCACTGTCACTTTCTCTATAATTGGCTGCTGTGGTGCTCTGGTGGTGGCTGATGTTGCCCCAACACATCCGCCGCATGCCACAGACATTTATTTTAGCCAATATCTAATTAGGCGACCCATCGGCGAAACTGGTTTTGCCTTTGGTTTGCTTTTCCCTAGCAATATTATTCACTTCAGAACTGAACTAACACACACACACGAGATACTCGTACTCAGTTGCATTCATTCGAAAAGAATCTGGAATAACATTTGACGCGCGACCAACGCAATTAGCAATGCAAAATGCAAATCAAACAGTTCATTCAAGCAAATATATATTTACCTACAGCTGGTAATTAGTGGAGCGGATCGCATGGGATCGTATGGGATCGCCTGGGGCAGAGGCAGAGGTACAGCACGCACCTGATTCATATGAAAACCCCTTGCCCGATGACGGCAAACGAACGAATGACAACGAATTGTGCAAATATTGGATAGATGCAGGAAAAAGCCACATCACAGCCCACACATAATTCAGCTGACAGTAGGTATCAGTTATTGATAGTGATATTTATCCCACAGAAGGCAGAATACTATAGAAAATCCATAGAGTTCCTAATATATATGTACTTATGGTTGGATTATCATTACGGGCACATTGCAATCTGTAGTCTGGCGAGATACTCCATGGATACAAGAGTTTTTCTACCTCCGATCAGATCTGACAGGGGACAGGGGACACAGCTGTGCAGTGACAAAAGAATATCTTTCGATATCGTTGCACGTACATGTCGATTATCCATCTATTGCTCGTGTTGCAGTTCGCTTCCTGCATTTGCAGAGCAATCATAGGCCTTGGACACGCACTTAGCAATTGACAGTTGTGGACCACATACAACATGCTATGATATGGTATGGTGTGTGTTTGTGTCTATTTATAAAACCAAAGCCGAAGCCAGGCCAGGAACCAACCGAGCCTCCAAGCCACACATAATTGCTGAATGGCGCCAATTGAAGCGAATTGAATTTCCAATGCAACTTCATAGACAGAGCCAGAGGCGGGCTATGTCGGTTAAATAAGCAGCAGCCGCTCAGAGAGATGGAGAGATGGCGATGGGGCTGCATACATAGATGGAGAGTTGGAATAATAACAATGTGCCTGCTCAAATGCAGTATTTCTTGCTGGACGGAGATCAATTTAATTGAGTCAGATCGGAGGAGCCAACAGTCGCCAGCCACTGGACAGGATGCCCGCAAAAGCACAGCACAGCAAATGAAACACTTGCCACACTCGGACTCTGTCCAAACGAATTCCAAGTCAATGCAGACCATGCAAACAGTGCATCGTGCAACGTGCAGCTGGGAACCAGTTCCGTGGAGCATCTAAAAATAAATATGGACTGGACTGGTCTCTCATCTGGCCGTGGGGCAATAGATTTAGTTTTTATGGAGAAATAATTTGTTAATGGTACCCGGTAGGCCTTCGGTGCTGGGGCCCCACCTTCGGGCAAGCGTCTCTTTAGAATCGCCAACGGCTTGGACTTGGACCCTGGCTCTGGCCATTCTTTTTGCCAACCACAACCACAACCTCACCAAAAGGGGCAGAAAGAGCAGCGAAAATGGACAAATAGAAAATGCCATCGGACCAAAGAAATTATCAAGTTCCGGCTACATATTCATCGGTCACTTTCCCAGGTACTACGAAACGCAAACTTCACTCATCTCCTCTCAGCTGATCTACTCGTAAGTGATTCGGCCAGCACGCAACTGCAATTGGACTTGTGGCAAATTCTCGAGACAATTTCGTTGGGGAAAATTGATTCAAATCGGCATTGCATTGATTAATAAATAATTCAAAAACAATTCAATGTCACATCCATTATCCATATGCCGGACAGGTTGACATGATTTGGCGGGTCGGGCTCTGTGACTGAGGGGCGACGGAGACGGAGAGTTTTGGGCTGGGCCAACGCAAAGTTCCGCTTGGTGGGATTCGGAAAAGTAATTGCCAGGGTTTTGAGTCGACTACGTATACTTAGTTTTCGATGGGGGACATGTCATCATTATCTCCGTCGCTTCTGCTTTTGCTTGTGCGGTCTGCTTCCATCATGGCATTGGCACAACGTGCTCGCATTCTGCTTATATAAGCCAAGGAACGAACGAACGGCTAATGATCGACTCTGGGACCTGGGACCATCAGAGGGACGACGGATGGGTGTGGGGCTGATTCCGATTCTGGGACTGAGGCTCACAGAACAGACCCATGAAAATGAATGCTAATCGGGGCCGCAAACAAAGCGCCTCCTAACCGCACCCAGGCGATTTTCTATTGCCGTGGGTCGGCTCAGTCAACAGAATGCTCGCTCGCCAAAAGCTACAGATAGCCAACAGACAAACACACATGGATATACATATGTATGTACCATGTAGTTATCGGTTACCATTCGTTACTATTTTTTATATTACATTGTATGGTATTTTATTTCGACTCGCTGGAAAACTGTCAACGAAACGAAAATGCATTCTGGCACGCCAAACGCCAGCCCGGGGGAGGTTCCATTGCACTGCAAATGAGTTTTTAATTTGTGGGAGCAGTGCCAGCCAATTGATAACTCTACGTTCTGGCGTGTACATATCATCAAAGAAGGAACAAAGGCACACAAATGACTGTCATTGGTAGTGGGAGGATGGGCCCACAGAGAAACGGAGTTGCACAACATGGGAACCGAGAGGAGGGGGCAGAAGTATAATGGGAATTATTTGGAGCTATAGCGAAGGCGATCTGTTGCACTGTTCCAAATCCAGAGACTTTAGCTTACACCTATTCCGAGACTTATTTGGATCTGGAGTAGAGCAAGCATCTGGCAGAAGAGAAGAATTACGTGAATGACTTCCCTCGATCGTTAAATTTTGCACCCTCAGGCCAGTGTAAACACCATTACCCATAACTGGGGCTGCCTTTTGCTCTGGAGAAACCCATCAACAGATATGAGTAATGTAATGGTCAAGGTGTTCGAGCAAAGTGGATGAATATGGGATACTGTAGGAGAAGAACGCCAAGAACCTGAGGGAATAGAAGGAGATTTCATATCTGACCAGTCCCTTCTCTTTCTGCTGGCAGCTCGTTGAATCTGTTTTTGCCCTTCTTTTGGGCACTCTGTCCCGAGTGTTGTAATCGGAAAGAGAATAAAAGAAGAGGTAGAGAGAGAGAGAGACAGAAGAAAAGGGAGAGAGACTGAGAGAGAGGGAGACGGCGATCAGGCACGTCCCAACGTTATTAACCTGCAAAATATTTGACTATCAAATGAACGCACACCCGAATACACCCACACACACATGAGTATATGGTGGGTGGTGTTGTCTCTGTCTTGCTCGGGCTATAGGGCTTATAGCATTTACCGTTTTAGCGCTTATTTGCTGTCCGAAGAAGTTCATTAATGGATCATCAGTTCAGTCCAGTGCGCACGGACAACGAACGATGGTGAAAAGTCGTGACTACACGCAGCAGTTCGGTGCGTCTGTTTTCTTCCTTATTTTTTTTGGTTTTTTTTTGTTTTTGTTAATTTCGTTAATTAAACGACAAACAAAACAGTGTTTGACACATTTTTGAATGTTTCAGTTATTGGATGTGGGTTTGTTTCCACCTCTTCTTTGCATACCATACATACATACTTTCGGGGGGGAGTACGAGCGTGTTTTTGGGCATTTACTTTTGGCCTCTTCTCGACTCTTGGCCAGCACGTGTATGGGCTGTACAAAGGTGCAAGTCTACAGATACATACATACATACTTACATACATAGATACATACATATGTATGTAGATGTTTGTATGCGCATATTTCTGTGTTCGCATTGATATGCAAATTTCAACGTCTGAACCAATTTGAAGGCGCTTTGGCCTTGAAGCTGAATTTGTTTCGCGAATTTCAGCTGCAGTGGAAAATTTTTGGACACCACCCATACACCCAATCCCCCCCACACAGCCCAAACAATGAGAGGGGATCTCAAACGGAGCCTATAATTTCCTATAATTGACTTTGTCTAGACTCTAGATTATAGTCGCAGTCGAAGATGGGTATGGGTTCAGGTTAATTATGGGTTTATGGCTACTATTTACGTGTATTCCCCCTACCCCTAACCCATTGATTCCAACTCCCTCCGAGTGGAATTCGATGGTCCAAAGATCGATGTATGAAGTGAATAACCAGCAGCCAGTGCAAAAGACCCCATTGAAAATTCCCCAAAATGATAATTCGTGCAGCGGCTGGCTCTAATAATAATAATAAATAAATTAATGGACAAATGTATGAATGCATGTACATACATACATATGTATGTATTATATGTAATACGTAGATTCGTGCATCCGATGGGGTTTAGTTGCGGGGGGGGTGTCTGGAGGAGGCTAAACTTACGATTTTTCATTTAAAAATTCACCGCGCGTAAATTCCGAAAGTCGACGCGATTTGCCTTTCTTGGCCGTTGCCGTTGTCGTCGCCGTCGTTGATGATTTTGTCGTTGTTTGTGGGATTCGATCGCAGTTTAAGTTTGCACACGTATGCGGGGAGGAGTGGAGGGCAGAGGAGGAGGCACAGGCACAGGCACAGACACAGACACAGACACCGCCTACGGCGACGGGCAGCGATCGCGACTTCTCAATGGCAGTCAGCGGAAGCGGGCAAGTGCACTGGTGGCTGGGCAGATCCTCCTCGAGGGCAAGGCAGGTGCACCGGAGCGGGCTCTGGTTGGACCAGCGGCGCAGTGGCTGCCTGTGCTGTGTCTCCGCTCCAGCGCCTGCTGCTGCCTGCAGACAGTTGTCCAGGGAGTGCTTCTTCACCAGCGCCAGCTGGTGCCTCTGGCGCTGCTGCTCCTGTCCGCGCTGCAGGCACCGGTGCTGCTTGAGGCTGCGGCGAGGACGGGGCGGCGACGGGGAGGGCGTATGGTTGGCGGTGGCCGGCGGGGAGCAGGCCACCGACAGAGATATGGCATCCAGGGAGCTGCTCTTCATCAGGGAGCTGCCCGTCCTGGTCTCCGTCTCGCTGTCGCTCTGCAGATGGGCTCTGTGCTCGCGCCTCTGCTGGGCAATGATGCGCGTGTACAGCTCCTCGGAGTCCAGGGGCAGCAGCAGATTCGTCACCCCAATCCTCCGCTTGGCCTGGCTGCGCTTCTGCTTGGACTCCTCGTGGTGGAGCACAGGCGCGCCTTCTGGCTCCTCCTGCCTCCTGCTGAGGATGTTGGATAGGCGCCGCATTTTCTTGGGCTTGCTGGCCGGTGCCGGCTTCCCTTCCCCGCTCTCTGTGCTGGGAGGAGTCTCTTGGCTCTCGGCCGGCTCTGGCTCCTGCTTCTGGGGCTGCTCCACCACATGGCTGACCACGAAGCGCGTTGGCTTGGCGGCCACTGGTCGCCTGCTGCTGCTGCTGTTGCTGTCCACTGCATCGCTGGCATCCAGCTTCGCGCCCTGCAGAATGTCGTAGATGGTTCCGTACTTGTGCGCACTGAGGCCGGACTGGACAGTGGAGGAGGCCGAGGCGGTGTCCAGGGCCCGCTGCTGGCGCTGCTTCTCGCGCTCCCTCTTCTGGATGATGTCGTAGATGACGTCGCTCGACTTGCTCTCCAGTATGGAGCTGAGGCTCTTGCGCTGCCATCTGTCGCTGCTGCTGCTGCCGCCGCCGCCGTCGAGGGAGCAGCCGCCGTCCTGCGAGGACTTGCGGTGCAGGATCTCGTAGATGGTGCCGTAGGTCATGTACTTGTCGTACTTCTGGTACGTCAGCTGGTAGATGTCGTTCTTCCGCTGGATGATGTCGTAGATGGTGCCATAGACCAGCTTGTCGTAGATCTTGAAGTTCCTCCTGTAGTTGGAGTCGCAGTTGGAGCTGGAGTTGCCCGGCGGCAGCTTGGCAGCGTACGTCTGCAGCTGCTTGTCCTTGCCCTTGCCCTCGCCCTCTCCCGTTGGGGACACATTTAGCTCCCTGCCGCTGTTCTCCTTGTCGCCAGACTTCTTGGGCTCTTTGGTCGAGTGCCGGCGGGGCAGAAAGTAGCTGGCAAAGCTCTTGCGCTGCCTCGAGTTCTGTCGCTTCAGCGGTGACGTGGTTATGGTTGTTGTTGCTGATACCAGCCCCACGGCTGCTGTGGCTGCTGCTGTTGCTGGGCATGTGGGTGTGGGTGTGGCGTCCACTGCCACTGTGTCCAGACATTCCAGGGGCTCGATTTCGCTAACCAGCCGCTTGAATTCCTCGTACGATGTGCGCCGCTTGTGCGCCTTGGCCCGCTCCTTGGCCGCAAACTGATGATCGAGAATCTGCGATAGAAAATCCGAATTCTTTCGCATTGCCTCTGTGGTGGTGCTGTTTACTGTCGTCGCTGTTGCTGCTGTGGTTTTTGTTGCTGTTAGACACCCATCGGCAGCGCCCTCACATTCGCCATCGCCGGTATCCATTTCATCGGGGGCCAACGGGGATCTGGGGCCTGGGTCTGGGCCTGGGACAGCGTCGCTGGTGGCAAACTTGTTTGCGCAATCCGGTTTGCCTCTCTCGCTTGTGGTTTCTTGTTCTGAAATGGAGGCAAGCGGTGTTGCTGTTGTTGTTGCTGTTGCTGGGATCACAGTGTTGCTGTTGCTGCTGCTGCTGCTGCTGGACGTTGCTGTTGCGTCATCTGCCGCCGAAACCATCGATGATGCTTGGGGCATGGACAATGGCAATGTGGCTGCGGCTTCCGATGCCGCCGCTGCCGCTGCTGCTGCAGGTTCAACAAACATGGCTTTGAACTCCTCGTAGGATTTGCGACGATTCCGCGACTGCGTCAGGCATTCCTTGTAGTTGCGACGAGCAATCTTCTCGCCACTCGACGATGCTGCCACCGTGGCAGATGTTCCGGCTGCCGCCGCTGCCGCTGCTGCTGCTGCTGCTGCCAGGGCATCCAACTTGTTCTGCATCTCCATGAAGCCCGAGTCCATGGAGCTGATGGTGCTGGTCGAGTCGAAGCTGGTCTTGCGGCTCGAGTTGTGGCTGACGGGCGAGCCCGGCTTGGGCGGCGTGGGCGGTGGCGTCACGAGCAGTGCGAGCAGGACATCCTCCTCGTTCGGGGCACACAGCAGATCCACATTGTGGCCATCACACTCTGCACCCTGCCTGCCTGCTCCTGCCACCGCCTGCTCCTGCTCCTGCTGCTGGTCGTCATCGAAGCTGATTAAATCGCGCACAACCGCAGAGGGGCGCAGAGGAGCCTCCTCGGGCACAACGTCCAGCACAGTGGGCATTTCCCCGCCCGTTTTGTCGCAGACGACTATCGACAATTCGCGATTCTTGTTAACCACTGCGTAGAGGGGCAGTGTGACTGCTGCTGCTGCTGCTTCTGTCAGCGATGTAGATCGCGCCGCTGTCGGTGACAAACTAAACGCTTCATTGCCGTCGCTCGCTCTAGTCGCTGGCTTGGAACTATGGCTGGCACTGCGACTGCGACTGGGGCTGCGACTCGGGCTGGGCATCGCCATTGGTGACACCTCTTGGCCCCCGCCCACAACATTGCATGCTCCCAGAGGGGCAATGGCAGTGGCTGGGGCTGGCGTGCAACTGCTGCGATTATGAAAGATTTTAACACTGTGAATCGGTAATTTGTGGTGGCGATTGGGCCGATTACGTGCTATCCCCGTCGTGACGGTCCCATGCGGCCGGTGCCTGTGCTGCTGGTGGTGCAGGCGGTGCTGGCGGCGGGCGTACCTGCTGGCAATGCTGCAGACAGGATCCAGCTGCAGCTGCCACGTCCCCGCCGGGTCATTGACCGGCTCGTAGTCGCTGTTGTTGCCCCCGGCAGTACCTCGGCAGCTGCGCAGATACCGCTGCAGACGGCGTCCGTTGCAGGTGCCGCTCTGCCCCGTCCGCTGCTCGTTCATGCACTTGGCGCAGCAGAGGAACTCGTACAGAATCTCGCCACTGGTGGCTGCCACACCCCCCGACGCCTCCATGGCCGAATCGGAGGAGGCAGGCGGCGAGGGCGAGTACTTCGGCTCCAGCAGGAATTCCAGCTGGGCCGCCGCCGCAGCAATGGCCTCGGGCTGTCCCGCTACGGATCCCATCGTACCCGTCGTCGTCGACGTCGGCGATGCCTTGCTCACGGGCATCAGGATGTACGTGTTCTTGGCGTTCTTGGGTGGATGCGACTCTGGGCACTCGCTGGGACTGGGGGCGGCGCTCTCCTGCTTCAGTCCCCCGGCCACTATCGAGCTCTCGATGCTCAGGCCGCTGTCGAGGAGCGTAAATGTGCCGTCCGAGGGCAGGATGAGGCGCCCCTCGGCGGCGGCGTTCACCAGCTCGCGCAGGGCGTGCACCTGCTTCTCGGTCACGTTCCCCTGCAGCTGGATGCCGTGCAGGGCGAAGGCCGTGGGCTTGTTGTTCACCGAATTGGGATCGGTGCACCACACCACGGGCATGGCTGTCATTCTGTATTTCTGTATCCTGTGGATGCTTTGGCTGCTGTCTGATTGGATGCTCTGTCTATTTGGACAGGCTGAGGCTCAGGTCAGGGCTGGGCAGAGGCTGTGAGAAGAGAAAAGGCTTGAGCTTGAGTACAACAACTTCTGGGAATGATTCAGCCCGAGATGAGCAGATCCCAGCACATGGCAGCGGCACCTGTTTCGCTTTACTGTTTCGTTTCTTTCTGACCGCAAGGGGGGATATGAATATAGATATCCATATCAGATCTATATTTAGATGAACATACAGATCACAGATCACAGACATCGAGGAATTCAATTCCGGTTCATGTTTTTCGATGCGTCGTCTAATCTCCATCCGAGAATTATGCATAAACCGAAGCAAATATTTATTTATGTAAATTACAACGTTTTGGCTGGAGCCCCTGGAGCCCAAACGAAAGTGATTTCGATTTTATTTGTATTCTCGATACTCGATTCCTTTAGAGGGGCTGCTGCCTTGAAGGCGTGTGTGGGCTCGTATGGAGGTGGAATAAATTTCACAAAACACAAAACAAATTCAAGCAATTGGCGGCGTGTGCATGGAACACCATTCCATTTTATTCCACATTGTTTTATGGCATTTGCATGTGATGGAATAAATTCGAACAGTTGAATCCGTAGATCCCATCCGATCCGAATGGGTATGGTAAGATAAGAACCAAACGTGAGAGACATGATCAAAATTAGGGTGGAGCAGGGGGAAACAAACCCCAAAGTTGTACAGAGGATACTCCCAGACGCAGTCGGTGGCCAGCTGCTGGCAGCGGGTTTTCATTTGTTTTGGATTCACGGCTAAACGGAATACGTAACACTTGATGGAAAATTTGATGGCTACTTTATTGCTTGTGGGCAGCTCAAGACGACTGAGCTGAAGATAATTATAATTGCCAGACATTATGTCATACAAGCAAAAACATACAAACATGTCTGTTAGTCACTGACCCCATCGAACGCCGGAGTTTGAAGGTGCTGCCGTCTTCCCACCGACCACCGACCACCACCGAACATTGACCATTGAACTCGGTTTGGATCATACAGCTACATCTCTGACTCTGACTCTACACATTCCGCACAGAGTGAGTGTGTTTGTGTGGCCAAGGCTGCTACGGATCTTGCTCTTGCTCTTGGACTTGAGAGATGTTCAGAGAGCCACGCTCTATGGCCGCTGATGGCGAGCCGACAAAGGGGGCCGACCGGCACTCGAGACACAACGGTTGCGGTGAGAAAAACTCCCCACTCCCCACTTGCCGCTCCGCACTCCCAGCAGGCATTCAGCTGGACATCCTGCAGACAAATGGATTCCCATAGCCACTCATCGCACCCTACTGCTGTTGCTGCTGCATCTGATGGCTCGACGGTATTGTCAGCCTCAGCAAATGTCAATGTCAACAGCAGCAAAAGCAGCAGAAGCTCAAAAAAGACAACGAAAACAACATAAATAAATTGCATCAAGGCGTAACAGTTTTCGTGGGGTTTTTGCTTTGCGAGGTTTTTGCTCTTTTCTTTTTGTTTTGCCCGAAGATCTGAAGAGATCTTGAAAGAATTTACCAAAAGATTGTGTAATTTCGAGGCATTTTGTTGTGTACATTTAACAGCGAAAAATTTACTTTTATGTGAAGCACAGTACTGTACACTCTTTCAGGACAAAGCACAAGCGCTGTAGGATATTTATTTATTATTCGATGCATGGGAATTTATGGTTCTAGGGTAAAGAAAACTGAGGAATAAATAGAGGAATAATCATTTCATGATTAAATAAGATAATAAATCTAGTTGGGTTGGGAGTTGGGATAACTGAACAACTGAATGTTGGAACCCTCCCCACACAACGATCTCTTGCTCTCGAATAATGTAAATATTTGATATTAGTGTTGAAACAAGAAGTAAATACATATTATTTAAATAAATAAACAGCTGCTTGGCGGAGTGTCGAGAAGAATAACAACAACAATGACTACAGAAAAAAAAAGAAAAAGATAATAACAGCGCCTGATGAAAACCTGTTGAACCCGTCTCGGTCTCAGATCTTCGAAAGGAGATTGAAAGCTCCTCCAATCGAAGGGGGTAAAACAGCAGCGGGTATCCCATAAAGCATGGCTCTACTCTGTATGTACATATATGCTACTGCATATACATTTGTATAGTACTCGCCATTGTGTGCCGTGGCGTGTTCCTTTCAGCTGATTCTAGTCACGCGCCAAAAACAATAGCAAGAACTTGGAACAGTCGCGAGAATGGACACAGAATTATCCAGCGAGCATTGTTTTCAGTGCAATAACCGTTATTCGCAACGAAAAAGATATAGATCTGTAGATACATACATACATACATATATAAATCAGCAAATAAACACGACTTTGATGTTAAGGCTGTGAGGTATGCAAAATGCGATCACTAATCGTTGATCGTTGATCGGCAATCGTTTCTAGGTATTACCATGCTAATTGGCATATGGGCAGCCCACGGAGCAAAAGTTTGCAAGGTAGAAGAACCAGCAAGGTTAACTCGCGGAAGGCCTCAAAGGGTCCGTGGAACGGGGCACGGGAGTACGGGGGTACGGGGGTCTACGCCTGACCTATGCTAACCGAATCGAAACATGTCCATTACAAAATAATGGAGCCGCCTATCGTATTCGCTCTGCGTGTGTTTTGTGTGGGAGTGGGTTTTCGGATTGGATTTCTGCTGCTATTCGGGCAGCGCGTGCCAAGAAAACCGAACAAGAGCCAACATAATAGTGTAGTGGCTATAATGAGTTGCAGAGTGCGGAGTGGACTCGAGTGCTGCCGCTGACCAAAGAAAAAAAAAAACACAAAAAAAAAGCTAACAATTGCACTCAAAAGTACTACGACCCACTTTGAACCGGTTTTCTACTGCCGTTTGTTTGTTTGTATCTTTGTATCTTTGTATCTTTGTCTTGTTTCATTGCTTCTGGTGTGCGCGAAGCCAGAGCCAAACCTCTTTCGGCTGTTGGCTGTTGCCAACGGATTGCTTCGATGTTTGCTGCAACATTTGTTGCCAAGCATTTGTTGCTGGCGAATTATGAAACCACAACAAAAGACAGCCAGATACAAGGCAGCTGGAGACACGAAGACACGCCATGCCACGCCCCAAAACTCTGCTCAATAATCGGCTGCTAATTAGCTAGAGACAGAGGAAACTCTAGCCTCTAGCCTCTCGGCCGGGTACTTTCTCCCCAGAAACAAAAAAAGAAACCCAAACTTTATTCCCAAGCCAACAATCGACCATCGAGGCTGTCCCAAGTCCAAGTCCAACCCCAGACCCAGTCCAAGTCCAAGTCACAGGCACAGGCACCAGCCCAGGCAAGCGTGCCGCTGCCCATTTATGTGCAAATGAATAGTAAGCTTTTTGGCCACCAAAAACAAATCAGCAAAAAATCCAAAACCAGCCACCAAAATGATGGCCAACACATCACCAAAAAAAAGAGTCCAAAAATGAGAGCTCGCCTCTGATTTTGTGTCCATGATTTAGGTCATTGCACAATGGTAACGAGAGCGAGCGACTAAATTTAGTATTATCTCTGTGCCATCCCATTCCGTTCGATCCATTTCCCCCACTCTATGGCGAAATTAAAGCCATCTAAAGTAGCTCTATAAAAAAAAAAAAAAAAAAAAAATACCCATAAGAGAGTTCACGGAACGGTACCCAAATATAATTAATGGCGAAATTCTATTTAGAATAGATTCCAACAATGATAAATCTACCAATTAAATGGAATCAAATAATGATCCAGATCCAGAATGAAACCAGAGGATTATTTAATGTAAATCTATTTCGAACAGGATCTATCTAAATTCGAGTTTCAAAGGAAATCAATGAATGGCAAAAAGACCCTCAAAAAAACCCCCCCATGTTTGTATTTTGTTTTGTTGGAAACGCACTGAATACGCTAATGAGTAAATATTTGGAAATCCACTCGAAAACCCGTTCGCCATGGAATGCCTCCAAGAATTGAGTTTAATATTGGGAAATTACCAATCATCATTACCCCCTCCAGAGCCTGGCCTAAAAGAGTAAAATGGAATGGAATTGATCTTGATTAAAAGAATATTTACGGGTCTGTTGCATTTCCTGGCTGACTCACTCGGATCTATACTATCTATAGGGTATAGACTGTATAGTTATGAGGAAGAGCAAATTGCAACCCATTCAATGGCTGGTAAAATGTCATCGCAAACAATGAGTGGAGGCGGCAAAGGTTGCAACAATAAAGCGGGGCACAAAGCCCCCACCACAAGAAGAAACAATGAGCTTTTGATGATCTCTCTCTCTCTCTCGCTCTGTTTTCGTGTCTGTCTCTCTTTGGCTGACTTGGCTCTTCACGCTCTACACTCTATACGCTCGCCAGCAATTTTCATGTGTTTTCAACTGAATATTTTGTATCTGTATCTGTATCTTTATCGCTTTTTTCTCTGCCAATTGACGGGCGGGCGGGCATACGAGTGTGACTCATGATACAGGAAATCTGCGGCCATGGTGCTCCATGGCTTAAAAGAGAAGACAGAAAGGTGGAAAAGAGAGAGGGAGAGGGAGAGAGAGGTAAAGGGAAGATGGTAAATGGTAGATGGCAGAGCGAGACAAAGGCAAAAGCAAAGCCAGGCCATTAAAAAGAGAGTTCACAGGTAGAAAAATACACAAGTTAAAGCTCTAAAAACTAGGAAACTTTGGGGCAAAGAATACTATATATGTACCATACACATGTACATACTTATAGTGTGTGCAAAATAATGCAATTCGCTCGAGTCACGTAAGTGACTCCAAGTAGATATCGGCTTCTGTCTTGGGATGGTGGCTCGAACAAGTCGACGACACACACAAAAAAAGCAAAATCCCAACAGAACCAAAAACAAAAAACGGCATTAACTAAGGTAAATTTACACAAATACAGACCCACACCCCCCCCGCCACCACAAGCCAATACACACCGACATATATCATTATTCTTTAGTGGTGTTTTTTTTTGTGTTTTTTTTGCTTTACTGCTGGGGGCACAGGTAGAAATTGTGCATTTTAGCACATAGCAAACGATAAAGTTCACTCAAA